ATGGGAGTGACATTCCTCGCAAGGTGAACGATTGTCTGATGAATTCACTCCGTGTTATCGCTCATGTGGAAAAGCCATCGACAGATGTCAAGCGTGATGCTCCTCGCCGACGTTTCACAAAATTTAACATTGATGATTGCTTAGAAATCTTATCACTGGAGGTTCCAGCATCTTCGCCATCGACGACAGTACGCTTTAGAACAAGTTTGTGTTTATAGCTCAGGTGCCTTAGTAAACCGCTGGTTGAAGAACCCTTGCATGCGAGAATTTGAGAACATTTTACGCATTTAGCTATCTCCGTGTCACCCGGAACTTTGTGAAAGTATGTCCATATTTCTGACATAGTTGAAGCTCAATACGGAAACAATGTCATGCAATCCATGAATAATTTCAAACAGAATAAACACAATAATTCGTTTGTCACTTACTTCAAGGAAATTCCCCACATGAAATAGCCATTTCAATTGGAACTACAGCACTTCTTTTTGTAAAATTATCACGCACATTCAACTGTTTTGTAAATGTCCGAACCAAAAAGTGCAATCAAATTTAAAAGTGATTCAGTGCCTTATCGTTGAATGGAAATTTCAGCCGAATAAAAACAATGCGACGGACGAGTGGAAGTGGATGAATGACATTTGAGGGACAATGAAAGAAGGTATGCCTATGGTATACACGAATACAATAATGCGCTACAACTTTTTAGCGCCTATGCTTTTCTTTTATTCACAAAAGAGTGTCCGGGTATTTCCCGGGAAATAAAGCTGGTTTCCCGGGAAACGGGAAGTTGCTATTTTTGTTGATTTCCCGGGACGTCCCAGGCAATAAACACTAGTTGTTGATTTATAGAAAATATTATATTTTAACGCATTACAAAATAGATTTTATATTGCAAACTCCGTTAAAGCTCTGGAAAACTCAGGGAATTCTTTTTAATTAAATGAGAACCCTGCCTTAAATTAAAGATTCATAAAATGTCTTCCGTATTTTTTTTTAAATAAATGTATAGCTAAAGCTTGATTTTATTATTTTAGCGCACTTTAATTGTGGATATAAATGCCACGCATCAGTGCAATAGATAATTTAGTGTTTTTATTGGTTTAAGTGCTTAGTATGCAATTGCTAACCGTGACCACGCACAACCCCAGCACTGGAATTAACACTACACAATTAAAGTTTATTTATGCATTGAACTCTTTCATTATTTAACACACTACATCTGACATAAATTACATTGACCACGAAGTTCTAAATTTTTAATAATTCTGAAATCTATTATCCTGCGGTTCTTGGTCTACCAAAACAGTGCATGTGTAATTTATGTTCTCTCCAATTGTTGTACTGTTGGAATCGGATAGTTGCAAAGATCGTCCAGATGAGACAATGACAACACAACACAACACAACATGCAGCAATCGGTTGAAAATTTTTGTTTTTAAACGCACAGTTGCGATTTGAATGTTGGTAGTATACATCGATACTGTTTTTAAAAGATTACAGCTTGAGCTTGAGCTTGATTGACCCCCCACGGTTGCTACTCTGTTACTGCCAGATCAGCTGTAATTACACAGAGAACCAATAGACGATGCTTGGGACTAGCAATCATCCTCAATGTGTAAAAACTGGTGATCTTAAAATAGGCAATACCAGCGCCGGCCGCGCCCGAACACAGGTCAAGAAAGGAATGCGAAGGATTGTGTTGACATGACACTCGCTTTGATGGAAGCCGAGAACACCTCTGCACTTCCACGAGGAATCACTGGGATGTTGGATAAGAGGGTTGGGTTTGCAGCAGGGTTCGTTTTAGTAAACGATAAGCTGAATTGATGTCCTAACGATCATATAACGCGAAGGAGCTTGGGACTAAACCCACGGTCTTCTGCTCAGTAAGCAAAAACGTTTGCCACTAGGCAGACGAGCACCTTTTTAATCACCGAGTTGCTGTTATTACCATGTAGCCATAATTACAAATAAAACGATTGACGAATCTTGAATGTGGATGGGCCTGAGATTAGACTCATGATTTTCTGCTCAGTAAGCAAAAACGGTTGCTCTAAGGCTACCGAGCCCCTCATATCACATAATACCGTTGCTCAAATTTGTGTATCCATTCAAACCCGGAACCAACGACAACAACGAGTTTCGCAAAATACACGATACACAAGCGATTTTACCATAAATCTCTTTGATATGTAAGGACCTGGGACCAGGCATGGAAAATCATTTGCATTCATTTCATACATTCATTTACATTCATTTGCCTCTAACTTTTTTCATCAACAGCATTCCGCAAAATGATGTATAGAGCTTTTGTAGGTTTTGTTAGTAGCTACAACTTTTGCTCATAATTTAAACCTGTATCTCTTATGCATCACGAGCTAAAGCGGACAGAACTTGATACTGATTTTCAGTGAATGTAAAATACATTCACTGAAAAACAGTAGTGGCTTCTGTTCACTCTGGATCGTCATGCATAAGAGATACGGATTTGAGATATAAGCAAAAATTATAGCTAATAATAAAACCTACAAAAGCTCTATACATTATTTTGCAGAATGCAGTTGATGAAAATAGTTAGAGACAAATGAATGTAAATGAATGTATGAAATGAATGCAAATGATTTTCCATGCCTGCCTGGGACCGCGTTTTTCTGCTCAGTAAGCAGGCCACTGTAACCGACGATCTTTCAAATCCGAAAACTAAAAACTACGAAAAAGTACTTAGGCCTTCATTAAGTTCCACTTTCACGCGACGTTCAATGACAGGGTCCTATCCAGGATTACATCTGAAAAATCCTAATCTGGCCAACGCCCACCTTAAACCTAAACCTGTTCTAATCCACCTGAAATGACTACACGGCGAATGAGAACGACTCAAATCTGAGTCTAGTCCACTCACAATCGCCAAAAGTGCAGGAACTCAGCGATGAGTAAAATTTGTCTTATGGTTTCCTGTGGAAAACCTAAAAAATCTGCCGGAAAATGAGGAAATTGACGAAAATTTTATTCAGTCTCGGAGTAGTACCAACAGACTGAGTGAATCCAATCTTTACTTTTCTCAAATTCGGGAATTTTTCCCTGGAAAATCCTGGAAAAACCTGGGAAAACATGAGGCAAATTAACTCATCGCTGAGTTCCTGCACTCCTGGCGACTATGAGTGAACCAAACTCAAACTTGAGTCGTTCTCATTCGCCGTGTAACGAATGGAAGACTTTTACTACCCAGCCATGCAATAGTCTCATTCCGTGCCTTATGGCAACTTGATGATTCTATTGCGCTCATCTTTTGGCACCACCCAGGGGAGACTTGGTCCTGTACCCAATGCTTAACTTATCTCCATTCCACTCAGCTACTCGCAATTTCTTGTGATATAGTGGGCGGAATATTATTATATGAGACAATTCAATGCAGACGTCTTTCCAAATTTGGCAGATCGACAGGTAATCGGTGAGTTACCACGATAGTTGCTATTCAACAACTCGACAACGTCCCATCGTCAACGCCTGCTATGAGAATTCCCCATTGCAGACGCCAACGAAATGACGTCATCGAGCTATCGATCAACTACCCTGGTTATCGCCTGGTACCTTATAGCACGATGCTAGGAGGCGAACCGGAAGAATCGATGAGCTACCTCTCCCCCGATACTGTTTTTAAAAGATTACAGTAGATTATCTTCCAGAAATTATGAATGTTTTTAAATTGATCCCTAACACGTTAATCACCAGATAAAAACGCCTAGCATTAGCATGCTGTAATAACGGACACACACCTCGTAATTGCAGATCACCCTCGTCAGCAGCTACGCCCCAAAAAGTCCGAAAAGGAAATGCAAAGTCCCAAAACTGTCCGTCGTCACCAATTACGTTCTTCAGCACCTTAACCTACAACTGCAATGCATCTCCTGCTGGGCGTTGATGTTGATGTTCAGTTGCAAAACCAATGTTAATAGGCGTAAAATCATTCAACGCGTGTTTCTTGTGCCGCTGGCTATTGGGCTCGTCGACTGACATAAACGCACTACTCACTACCAGCAGTAGCAACACGGCCACGAACGGGGCAATGAATTCATTACATTTTATTTCCTCCCAGTATTCATTCATTGTGTGGCACACGTCTCGCAGTCTTGTGCCTATACCGGAGGAACAAAAGGTGGAAGAGAACTATAAACGGGACGGACGGGAACTCTGGGACCGGAACAAAGGCGCGTAAAACTGCTGCTCTATAGAGCATTCTGATGCCGGGGCAGATGGTACCTACTTGAATAAAAATGTTGTTGTGAATTGCTGACAATGAATGGGGATTGACCTTCAAGCGCAACCAAACCATGCAAAAGTGTATACAAATGCGTCGGCAAACAGCTGATGTAAACAAATACCTGGTCAATTACAACACGGGTACTTACTGGACGGTGACGAACGACGATGATGAGTCGAATGAGTACAGATGCATCTGTCCCTAGTTTAGCCGGGTTGAGAAAGAGGTCTTCTACAGCAAATGCGATGAAAACTCGAAAAAGAGAGTTGGTAATTAGAGATTGTGGTATTGAACCTGGGTAATCGAAGATCGTATTACTGAACATTCATAGAGGATCCAAATGGTACCGATGTGATGCATTCCTTCGGGTGAAAACTGTAAAATCTCTGATGCTTGCGACAGCGACAGTGACAGCAATTTATCATCATGAGTTCTTTAGATACTGCTTTGTTTGGGAGTCTGTTCAAGGCAATAAATTGTAACATGACAGACGGGTGTGTCTTCCATGCACCAATAAATTCGTTTTCACTCGGGAGTGGTGATTGAAAGTGCAACAAAGACTTTCTGTTTTCACTTTTTGAAATGTGACACATGTGACAAACATTTCCTCTATTGGTTGGTTGGAAAATCAGGGAGCAGGTTTTCCATAAAATGTTAGCAAGCTGATTTTCGACAGCACAATAAAATAAATAAAGAAGGTGGCATTCGGATACCAGTTCAGTGACACATATTCTCCTTGAATAACTAATCAAATTTCGTCAGTCTTCAGTTGGTCTTCTTCTTTATTGCACCTTTCTTCCTTTGCTTCTCATCACCAGCAGCAGCCAACCTTCTCTGGTAACTTTTTCTCAGAACAATTTGAATCAAAATGGCTATCATCGCAACCGGTAGCAGACAGATTCCTACGATGCACAATGCCACATCCACCAGGTGCCGCTCCCAGAAGGTCAAATTTAGAGCCCCGGAACGAAGCTTCGGTACACCTCCATCGTTCTTCAGAACATACTCAATGTAGTAGATCGCTTTGTCCATCGGTTTCATCGGTTGTTCTCGGAACTGTTTAGACGCTTTGAGGGCGTTCTCTCGGAACCTATCGTTTAAAGAGAACGATATAGCAGATATAGAATACTAAAATTCTCCTCGATAATGACTTACGACGAATCTTCCATTATTCGTTTGATTGACTCCAGCACAATCTCCTGGGTAATATTCTGGTAATTCAACTTCAATCCATACCCTGCTGCCACTGCTCTATCGACCAGAATTTCCTGTTCTCCAGCCAGCGGTAACCCCAGAATAGGTTTCCCGTATTGCACCGATTCCATCATGCCCAACAACCCCCCGTGGGTGATGTGCAATCTAACATTTGGATGCGCTAGCAATTGCTGCTGTGGCATCCAGGGCCCGATGATCACATTGGAACTCTGATTCTCCAGCGTAGCGTTTTCCCACTTCCAGATAATTAGTGTTCCGGATAGCTGAGTAAACGCTCCCGTGAAAGCTTTCCGAACGTTTTCCGGGAGATCGATTGACTTGGTATTACCTCCCATGCTGAAGTAGATTACACCGTTCTTGGCCGCTTCGACCCAGTTGATGACGTCCTGAAATATACTGATTTGTATAGAAAAATCTTTAGTAATCCAATCGAAAATAGGCACCTGTGATAGTCCACTAAATTCAAATTTCCTCAGATGAAGCCCACCGATTTCGATCATGCTGGGAACGACTGGTCGAGGGTAGTTGATCAATGGGTGCGAGTTGATCAAAACCAGACTGACATTATGGATGACGTCCAACAGCGGCGGTAGGTTCTTCTTGGAAAAGTGCCGCTGGTAGACTGCTTCCTGTGACGGAAGGTACAGGTACTTGAAGTTGAACTGTTCCGAGATTGAAATAAAGGTGTTCCACAGCCTTTGGTCGAACGACATCCGGTCCGAGTAACCTAGAGAGCTGATCGGGTTGTATGCAGGATTATGTGGATTAGCAACCATCTCATTTGTGAACTTATTTGTAGCCGTTGAGCTGTAGACGATTGCCGGTACTCCGTAGTGATTCGCTAGGCTAAGTAAAGCAAAATTGTTATCTACCAATTATGAAACTTCAATTCCATCGAACCATACCCCAACAAACTGTCGGAAAGCACCTGATCCAGTATCAACAAGTCAAACGTTGCATCGGATTTTAGCAGCTCCTGTACCTTGGGATGTCCCAAGGTGTAGTCGGCCATTGCTGCCGTACCGTAGATCAGGTTACTGTTCCCATAGAAGCTCGATTTGTCCCACTTGGTGAAGATGTTTGTGTTCATGCCGTAATCTGTCGATTGAAGTAAGTGGCAAGCACGGCGGCGGTCAATAAAAGCATTACGTTTAGTAATCACAACAAAGCCTGATAAGAACGACTCCGCACTCTCACTCGGGTTGTCTACGCAAACGTACCTTCTAGATGAGCAAACATTCCGGTCAGCTTGATTTGCTTGATGTTTTCGCTGTCATACTCAATCTCGAATGGGCTTATCACTGTTATCTGCGTGAAAGTGAAGAAGAGTAATTTCATACATTCGAAAACGTGACTTGCACGTAGAGCACTTACCTCATGGCCTCTTGAAGCGAGCTGCTCGAACAGCACCTGTCCGAAGATATAGTTTGTTTTGCTGGTACTCGGAAACACTGCCAGTATTCGAGATGCGTCGATAATAGACTCACCAAGGATTACTAAGAATAGAAATGTACCGAGTATTAGCGTTCTCATTCTGATTTAGGTTAAACTTTCCCCCATGAACGAATAATTAAGACTAAGGCTGCCCGGAGTGAACTGGATTGAGACTTTGCTTTTGCCATTGCTTTTAGGGAGCTGATAAGAGGCCCCACATTGCTGATAGCTCCGTTGCATCGATAAAGTATCGCAACTGGGGAGCAAATACGGACGGGCCACGTTCGAATTCGATACTGGAGTATGCAATCTGACGTGTCGATGAGGTTGCGAGCTATGTGATGACGTTTGGCGCTCACTACTGACTTAGGTAGTAGACTAGCGGTGTGATATTTATTTGTTTTTACTATTTATTATTGTTTGTTTTTTTTTTTTTATTTACTATATCTCTGACTATAATTCTACATGAATAACACATAAAGCTTACAGTCAATAAACAATTCGTATAACAGATACAAATTAAATGCGACTCTTAAATGCTTCAACAGAATGGGGAAATTCAAACACATGATACATGTAATTGAATTCGCGACCCATCGCCAAATCTAAATAATGCTCTCGGTCTGAGTTCTGAGGCACTAGCACTCTGGCTCCAGAAGGACGGGGGGGGGCGCTTTTCTCTTCATTGTGGTCATGTGGACCAGTGCAGGACTTTGGGGTGAATAAATGTTTCCTAGCAGTAGTTTAACAACAAACAAAGCTCTGGCTGAGCTACGTCATTGCTGAAGAGTTTTCATTCCGAGCGACGGTGGCAGGTTAGACCTAAACGCAAATCTGAAAAGCATGCGGGCTCCATGCAACTGAACCTGTTTCAAGAACCGAACAAACTAAAGCGTAATACAGTACCTGTCCGATTTTGTCCACAGGCCCAAAAATCTAGTGTTTCCAAAATTGAACCGCGCCAAAATCGAACGGTTTTATTTTGAAATTTATTTTATGATTTCGTTGATTTTGGACCACCGAGTTGCTACTAATGTAATCACAAGAAGGGAAAACAAAAGCGGTGCCAAAATTAAAACCCGTACCAAAAACGAACGGTTTTGTGGTTTTTTTTTTTTTTTTGCAAAAAACGAACCGTGCCAAAATCGGACGGGTACTATATAATGAATGTAGGCAGTAATAATCTCGAGAGTCGTTGCGCGTTGGCAGTTCTTATTTATTTTGAAACCCATGTTTCTGTTTTCTTCAGCAATAAAGCCGCGCATGTAGTAGACCTCAAAGGTCCATCACTACGCTCTTTCTCAACTGGATATCCATTGATTTCATAAACCTAGTCAACTAAAGATGTCTTCTGTGTGAAGGAGATGACACTATTTCTGTTAACTAATGGTCAGCTCATTCACAAAACACCAGATCCAAAATAGCTGGATTAGTCGCTGTAGTTCCTTGCGATCCTCAATGGAATTGACGGTGATAAAAATTGTTAGATTATCCACATATACAAGTCAACGACTCGGTGGGATGTCGAAAACACAACCTTAACTGTTCGTGAAGCAACAGGTCTGCGATGACCGTCTATTAACCGAATACGACTCCAACCAACCAGTCAAGTGTGAAGCACTCAATCGATTAAATAATCTTAGCTACTGTCAACATCGTACTTGTTAGAGAATGCTTCACTCAGCGTTGCCAGATATACCGATTTATCGGTATTTATACCGATTTTCAAACTTGATACCGGTATACAGATAAAGGTTCCTCAGAATACCGATTTTTGAGTTTTAATACCGATTAATACCGATTTCTGATTAATAATCAAATAATTACTGCTTGCCCGCACTGAATTGTCAGAGGAAACTATTGTAACAAACTAATGTAAGAGACCCTTGGAAGCTTCTTCTAGCTTCGCTCGAAAGTTTCTTCCGTCTTCTCCCGTCAGTTTTTTCAACTTCCCCAGAACTTCAGGAATGCTTCCAGAGTTTTAATGCGGTTCTATTAGCTTCAGGAAAATTTCAGGAACTTTTCAGAAATTCTGAATCTGAATAGTTCAGAATTTTGGGTAGGTACCAATAAACCGAAGAGAGTTTAATTAACTTCTGTTCAAATTCGAGAACCCGGCAATCTCAGGAAAACCTCAGAGAACTCCAATGAACTTAAGGAAACTGAAATATTTTGGAATCTTCACAAGTTCAAAGAACTTCAAAGAAATTTAATGGTGTTCAGGATAGTTCCATTTGTTTTAGGAGAATTGAGATAACTTTAGGAAAGCTCTGAGAACATCAGGATATATAAATTCAAGGAAATTTCTGAACCTTTAAATGAGTTCTGAAATTTCAGCAAATTTATAATAAACCTTTTAATGAGTTCGAAAACTTCAGCAAATTTTTCGAGCGGTCCATGAAAATTTTGGAAACGTAAGGGAAATTTCATAAACATTAGAAAATGTGAGAACATTTTAAGGGAGGTTCTGTGTTTTTTATCGGTAGTTTCAAGAACTTTAAAAAATTAAAAAATCGAGAAGGTCAGAGAACTGTAATGCTGCTGTTAATTAATAAAAAAAAATCAAGCGCTAAAGAAGATCCAGGGAGTTTAAACGATAATAAGAAATTTTCCGGTAATTTCATAATAATCAGGGAAGTTTCGAGTACTTCGAGGATGATCAGAGAACTTCAAGAAAGTCCCATTAAATTTAGGAAAATTGCAAGAACTTTCAAGGAGGTCCGAGGTATTATGGGATATTCCGAAGTGCAATTCAGGAATGTTCCGAGAAAAATCAGGGATATTGTGGGGTTTTCAGGGATGTTTTATGAATATGAAAATTGCTGGATCAATAGAGCATGTGAGGAACTTCAGGAAATATTTTGCTAACATCCCCCAGAAATATAGTTCTTCCAAATATTTTATATCTTCTCCTTGAAGTATCTTCCGACTGTTCCGTAAGCCCTCTGACGCTCAAATTTTTCCAGAAGAAACTTCCAATCTATCTTAGGAAGTTTCTCCCAGTGTATCCTGGAATTGTCTTCCGTCTTCTCCAGGAAGTTCAATTAAACTTCTACCGGATGTATCTATCGAGTTCTCCCAGAAGTTTCTTCCGTCTTCCTCTGGAAGTTTCTCCATAAGTCACTCTTTGTGGGTTTTTTTTTTGACTTCTCCTGGGTTCCGATTTCCAAACTTTTCTGGCATCTGGATTTTTCCGAAAGTTTCTAAAGCAAATTCCAGAAGTTTCTCAATATTTGTCTTGGAAGATCCCCATCAGATGTTTTTCCGACATTTCTTAGAACTTCCTTCAAACTTCCTCCACAAGATCTTCTTTATTCTTCCACTGGAAGTTTTGTCGGTATCATTAAGAGACAAATTCAAATATTTCCAGAAATTTTTTCCGACTTACAAAATTTTGAAAAAATATAAAATTAATTAAAATAGTGCATACCGATAAAAACCGATTTTTTAATCATTCGATACCGATAAGCATGCAAACAATATGGCTTCGCTTAGCCACACGAACCTTTTCAGAAGCAAGTACATTGGATTCAAATCGAATGTTTTTTTTTTTATTATTATAGGGTATACGTCCCTAACCTCGGTCTAATATGCAGCCATCGATTACGTTTTTAATCATAACTCATCAATGAATTTACCTGCAAACGATATTCTACTGCTAAATGGTATGCTTAGATACCCGACCAGAAGGGTATAACAATAAAATAACAAGATTATAACAAACCTTGTTATGGATAACTGATTATGATATAATTAAATTAAGGAAACTTATCACCAAGAAAATAATATAACAAATCTTTAACAAATTTAAATGCAATGTTTTTTTTATGATTTTGTAACTGATTCTTAACAAGATTTTATCACAACCAGATATTATTGACCAAACCCCAATAAAAAATCAAATATATTTTTTCTTGTGTCTTTCAAGCATTATATTTTCTATGAGTTTGATAATGTTTTGTATTTCATTTACACAGTTAATCAATCTGAGTTTTTGATTTACAAAGTGAAATATATGATTATAACACGATTTGATATAATTTTGTAATAGCACAACAGAATTGTGTTGCAAAATTTGTTATGTTTTTGTTATGAAAGTAACATAGCGAAATATGTTTTGGTTGCATCTAGAGGAAATTTTTGTTACATTTTTTGTTATTTTAACTACATCCGGGATCTTAAGTGTAACAAGCTGTGTTACAAATTATAGTTAAACAAAATAACACAAGCTGTAATAAATGTGTTATTCCCTTATGGTCGGGTATGCTTATCATGTCGTTTGCTATCAGAAACCACGAAAAGTTGAAAAACTTACTTTTTTTAAGACAATAACTCACGAGGGAAATGTATGTAATATGGGTCTATTGTCCCCAAATTGGGTCTATTTATGGATGCAACTTCGTCCTATCTTGTTTGATCCTCAAAAAAACGCTCTTGGTAACGTTTTCTGATGTATTTTTTTTTATCACTATCACTGTTAACTTAATGCTCTTCATTCCTCAAAACATTTCTTAGAGAAAATTTTACGAAAACTACATTAAATCACTCAATTTAAAAATTAAAAATTAAAAACTTCGCTTATCGTCTTTTGACCGCAGAATATCTAAATCAGAACATTGTGATGTTCATTATACAGGTTTGGCAGAAAAAATCTCCCTTCCTGTTCGTTCCTTATCATCCAAATGCAAACCACATTGTTGACGTTACTCTTATTGCTATATGCTGTCAAATGAATTTCATGGGCCATAGTTAGGAACATAGAAAAGAAATGTGTCCCTAAAGTTGGGTCCATGTTTTACTTGTGAAAACGTTGTTAAACAATTAAAATAAACATAAAATATTCAAACAGCAACTGTAAGTTTTACGTCTAGTGTGTATTATCAGGTAATTCCAATCAATAAATGCCATAATCAGGCCATTTGATGATCGTCAGTCAACCTTCCCATCTTAACCTTATAAGTCATGGCGGCTAAAAACTCCGAACATTGTGATATTCTCAACCAGTTTTATTACTTACGAGAGCTGAAAATGTATTGAAATGTTGTGATATAAATTGATTTGTGTGTGGTACACATTTATCAACCATCAGTGATCAATATTTTCCTTATTTTTTGTGTAATATTCCTTAATTAATTATTTATTTGCGTGATAG